GGGAGCGCGGGGCAGGCTGCTCGGAGCGGCGCTGTGGTTGGGCCGCGCCAGTGCCCCTTCCTCGCTGGCACAGCTAGTAACGGTGTATCGGCCACTGGGCACCTCAGGAAGCCCCAAAGTGGGGCATACCTCTGCCTGGCTATCTCCCAGCCATGGCTGAAGCAAAAGTCTTCCCCTCTCCTCCTAAACATTTGTCTTTTCTTTCCTTGGGACTTTCATGTTGCCGTCCCAACATCTAGAAGCCACTGAACAAATATCTGAACTCCACAAATTCTACCACATAAGGTTTCCAGGCAGGTGGGAAAGAACTGATGGAGATGCCTGCAAATACCTATTCGTCATGTCTCTCTTTCACGCCCTTCTCAGCCATGCCTGCAACCTCTCTGAGTCTGGCTCATTTTTAATTCATTGTCTTCTCCAAGATTTGCCTCTTTTTCCAAAGCCTCTTTGTCTTACTTTCATTAAATTTTATTTTTAATAATTGAAATTAATGTATTTTTTTCCTAGCCACATATTTTCCTTGCAACATATTAATCTCACTAATATTCTCTGCTTAACAAAGTGATGGTTTGTGTTCACTTTCCAAACGCTTCCCTCACCCACATTAGGCTTCTCACACCACTTTCACAGGTCTCTGCAGCTGCTGTTCTTCTAAATCCAACCTTGCCACGTTTCAGTTGTATCCGCATCCATTGTTTTTCTTCTACCAATGCTTCACATCTTGCCCGCTTACATGCTTCTCCCTCAACCCCTTTCATGCAACCTTCAACACCTGCTACAAGACCATTTGAGTTGTTCTTTGCCTGTATTGTGTTATCTTTAAGACTTACTTTTCTCTACCCAAATTATCTTGAGTTCAAATTGCTTGTTATTGTTTTCCCATCACCAAACATCTCTATTTGTCTATAGGGATGTACTTTGCCTTCCCTTAGGCTCTTAACTCTTTAAAGCAGGGAAAAAGGAGTTATCACGCTAGGTTGCATTTTTAGCTTGCTCCAACTCCAAAGCTTTGCATCAGAGGAAAAGAGTAGAAACTAGAATGATGTAAATGTGTCATAATGTCTTTCTAGCGAGAGGGTTCTTTGTATAACTCCTCACAAACATTGCTTTATTTTAAACACTAAAGTATGGGATTTAATATCTGATCTAAAATATATGTCACTATTTGTTTATTCTTTTTTTCTAAGTTACAACCTTTTACTGAATATTGATGTTAATGATCTCAGGATTGTACCATTGCAGACTATTATTTCATTTTGCATTGTATGAAAAAATATTTCTTTATTTTAATTTCTTTATTGTTGGGATTTATACATGGTAATAGTTAATCTTATTCCTAATTGAGGAGATCAGTTGCTTGCCCTTTAACGTGGCCTTTATGCTTAGAGACCACTGTCAAAGTGCTTGAATGCGTGGAGCCAAATAAGTTCTTACCTGATATCCGAGTGTATCCCATGGAGGGATAATAGCTAATGAAGATCTAAGAAATCTTGCTAAGCATTTTAATAAACAATAGAAAAAAAAAAATCCCTCCAATGAAAGATGAGTAAATGTCAGGTGTTGGGCCTGTTCCACGCTCTTCGGGGAGGCAAAACTCTCAATAGTAGTTTACTTTAATATTTGAAGAGTTTAGTACATGGCAAATATCATAACCATCAAATAATAAATAACCACTTATTTGTATGACTAATAACAAGAAAGGACAACAAGTAACAAATATCCATGTTTATTTTTTTCAAATAATTGCCTGTATGTCTTTCAGTGAGCAGCGTATTCTAGTAGAAGGAATTTCGCTATATTTACACACCGTTGTGGCCAGATCTTCAAGACTGACAAATAGAGAACAGATAAAATAGACAAACACTCTACTTGTAAGTCTGTCGACTATCATTAAGGCATTAATTGTTGGACCTGTGAATAGTTAAACTCAAATTATAAACTATGAGATCTACGGGGTTTATGTATAATTAATATTACTTATGATGTATTATTTATAAAATGTAGCAATAACCTTGGTTAGCTATTCCAGGAGATGCTTCAGTTTTCAGCACAGGCAGATAAGGAAAATCGTTACTGTCTTTGGTCAGTGACTATTGTTTCCTACCTCTGGTGGTACCTAGTATTGAAAGGGTGAAGAATGGTTATGCAGCCCAGAATCTTACAGCAGGAGTTATGACATGTTCAGTGGAAGGAGGGAAAAAAGAAATATTCAGCTGCA